CCAGAAGTTGTTTGATCAATCTCTGTACTCAGCATCTGGTCCTTCTTGTCGACGCCTCCCATACATATGTTGTAGTCGCAGACTACAGTGGGCTTAGATTTTTCTTCCTCAGTGTGAACGCCGACACCATGGTACGTAGATAGCATCGCTACGCGATTGGTATCTCGGCATACCAGGATGTCGATGTCCCCACTCGTGGAAGCAGAGATTTTTTCAGATTTTCCAATTCTTTAGGCACACATTTGCGGTTAGTCCGCAATGTGCCAACACAATCAATCCCTAAAGATTTAAGGACACGGACAAGTGGTGGACTGTTGTAATAATTGTCCATCCACAAGATGTGTCCTTTATTCTCGAGCCCTTTTATGAGCTCAAGAACAAGGGATGGAATTATTATACCTGATACAGGGCTATCATCCTGTCGTTCTGATTCACCGTGACCCGCGTGCACCTTAAATCTATATAGATTATAGGTACCCAGTTTGGTTTTCACAAACTTCATAACTTTTAGCATATCACTTTAGAGCTTCGTGACGTACGTGGGCTCCCGCCGCAGATCCCTTGAGGGGACGAAAGCCGAAACACGTGTCACGTATTTTAATCTTTAGAATCAGTTTAAAAAAATTAAAATGATACCTTAAAAACTCACAAAGTTCCAAGCTTTTTTTGTTGTCCCATTATCCGCACGCGAATGTAGACATCGTACAGCGCGCGGCACTTTCGTTGTTGACAACGCAATGTTTGTTAATAATAATAAATTATTCTTTATTCAAGTAACCAGGACTCAGTTTGTTAGTAACAATTAGTTAAGCTTTGAAAACATTTTCCATCACATTACAATAAAAAAATCACCACTATTTACAATAATTTCTATCCACAATCACTATTTTTAATTAATAATAATTCTCAATTTTTGACTTAGGCCGAGTTAATTAACGGTCCACAAGATGTTAGCGTGGCGATTATTCAGCTACCACTGGCAAAATTCAATACGTTGTGCCCTGTCATTTTCACACAGCTCCTGAGCTCGACGGAAGTGGTATGCATATTGTCCATCATCGTGAACTATTTTCCAGGCATAACTTTGGCTCTCATTAAATGCTCTGCCAGCCTGAGTCGTGCTTCTCTCAGGATTACTGGCTATGAAGTCCAAAATTCCTTCTTGCCCTGTTATAGGAATGCGGGGAATCTAGCTTGGAAACTATCAAATAGTTTATTAAGACATCCCACGACGCAATATCAACTCACAAATTCTTCAGAGATTTCAAACAAGCTGATGTGGTGTCAAGAAGTTGCTTTATTGAAGAGGCGGACTCATTAGGTATTACCTTTTGTGAAAACAATCGTTTCAGGATTTCATTTGAGTTGTATCGTTTGTTATTGTAGCGACGCGTCAACTTATCCCATGCTTCTTGGTAATTTGTCTCTGTAGTTCTTCTCAACATGTTTTCAGGTTCACCCTTAAACTGGTTTTCAGGTAATGTAGCTTCTGAACTGCACTCAAGTTTGCGTTGTTATGGATAAGTGAAGTAAACATATCTTGAAAGCTTTGCCATTCTTCATGTTTAACCCTCCCGTAGTGAGAGGGTGGAATTCCCTCACCCTGAGCACTCCTAGCCGTTATCACTCCTATCACTCACTCCTACACTGACTAGGGGTACTACTAACTAGTGAATCAAACACCGTCTTGAGGTCAACTGAATTCAAATTTATTCTTTCCTCGGTTATATATAAAGGGCGGGCAAAAAATCTGGACACCGCGTGCTAATATTTTGCCTTAATCTAAGAGGTGCCATCTATCGGCCAAACTACGTGAACTACCCGTCATCTAGCGCGCGGTGACATCTATCGGTAAACCTTAAACCGACGTCAACACTTCATAAAGACCCAAAAAGGAGGGTAGTTGTATCTGTGGCAGTTTCACTTCAACACTCATCTGTACATTTTGACTGTCTTGAGCTGAACCTGAAGGATCGAAGCCACTTCCCTTCTTTAATTCCATCTTCATTTTGATTTTGCTGTCAGTATAAATGTCTTCAACATTTTCATCTAAATCTTCGGTAAAGTAGGGTAGTTCATCTCGTTGATCTTTCGTCGCGGACCCTATAATCTTGTAATGAATATCGCTGAACTTCTTCCATAATGTTTCCAAATTCTCTAATTTTGTCTCGATGTATAGTGAAGTTAATCTATTTTTAGGTGTTTTGAGCCAACTTTTATGGCTATAAAACTGTTAAGTTGGGATTAATCGTTATCCATCTGTTACGACACAATGATGGACACGTGACATCATTATTTGGTTTTATAACCATAAAAATTGGTCTAATTGATCCCAGAGGTGAGCCCAAAGTGAGGTCTTTTTTCAAGTCACATTTATTGTATATCGCGTTTATGTTAATCGTTTATTAAGAAATTAAATGTGTTTTTCTTTAAGGATATTTATTGGGCTTTCAAATAACACCAATATTGTTGGGATACTTTAGTGCCGTGCCGTGCCCAATATTGTTGGGATGCGATTAAGCGATTGTACAAAAAAAGTGTACTGTTTATGCATGTTAAAAGGCCTACAAAGCCAGTTTTTCGATTTGTAGCGATAACAGGTTTATCTCCATCAGGAGCTGTTAAATAAGTCAAGAAATATGTAGCAAATTCTAAATACTCGTTTGTTTTAGAATTTTTTTATCAAATAACGGTTTTTTGAGAAGGGCATTCATTTAAAAAGCTAGAGTCTACTTTATGAAAGTTTTGCAATATCTGTATGTAAACATTCCTTTGCCTATTTTTTCTAACATTGTCTTAATTGCTATCGCAAAATGTTCTACGTAATTTATCATGTTGAGACTACAATAGTTCAAGGCTTCTTTTTTATTCATTATATTCCTTGAATGCTGTGAAAATGTGAACATTTGTTTTTACATCAGTAATTATACTTTTTTTTTAAATAAATTACAGTGATTTTCGATCTTTTTATAAAAAGCAACAAACATAAATGCACAAGCATTTATTTCCCCAGTTAAAACTTCTTCAGAGAGGTATAGTCCCTCTTCTTCTTCTAGGGAGAAGTTTTTTCTTTCTGTTCATAGATTTGTGGCCGGGTTATTTAAAATCATTTTATAATTAAATTATTGATAATTGCATTGCAGAATTACCAGTGCCTTGATGAGTTAAATTAGTTAATACTGCTGTTTTTAAAGCTGCAACAAATTGACCAGCAGTTGGATTAATATTAGCTCCACAATTTTCCGAACAGGTTTTCCAGTAGGTCTTGTTGCAACCTGCGTGTGGACAGACTTTTGGATATCTTTATGTTTTTGATAAGGATTTTCCACACCTGTTCTACTGCATTTACCCATCCGGGTATGGACCACCAAATAATGTTTTCTTTGGAAGGTGGTGCACGACTAGAGCCCACAAAATTTAAATTTTAAAATACATTTCAATTTTTTTCATGAAGTCCAAATGAGGTGTACTCTTCCTTGTGGAAAATATTTTTCCTTGCCTCAAGTCTGTGAAGTCACTGTTGACTGTTGAGTGCCAAATAAATATTTTATCCATATTTTCTATGACGTTGACTGTAGTGGGCTTCAGTAGACAGTGAACCTGAAAGTAAATAATTTATTATATTGTTGCCCGCGAGCTGCCAACCTATAATTAAGGCAGCACTTAGATTAAGTTTAAATACGCTGTAAATATTGATTGTCTTCTAGTGTATGTCTTGTTGGTTGTCCTATTAAATAAATTAAAATAATAACTCACCAAACAAAAATGTTGCTGAAGAAAGTTTCGATTTTGTTTTACAAGATGTTGTTGTTCAGGAAATAATCCAATGCTCTGAAATAAATGATTTTATAGAAGACTTTATACATATACAGCGTGTATCTGACGACGTGTAAAAAATTGTGAAGTTCTGGCTAGAAATCTAGATTACAAAAAAAAAAATTTTTTTTTATAATTCATATGAAATTAGCATACCACAAACCAGTCCGCGAAAGGACCGAAAACCATTGTTACCCCAGCCGGTGATTGTATACGATTCGTTGACTCAGTTTCTCCTTCGTACTTTTTCCGGACTTAGGACCGGCAAAGCAGCTAAAATTTGAGTTTGTGTTTATCTCAAATATCAAAAAACAATTACAGAGTATAAGAATTGTATTGAAAAACTATTTTTCCTTAAAATATTTAGCAACTCATATAAGTTATTTATTTAGCAATCACAAACCCAGTTTAGGTGCTTTGGTGTAGTTAAAAAAATGAATCAACTATGTACAGTCGCGGAATGAAAAGGTTCGTCACCTTAGTGTCGGTTTTCGTTTGCACTAGGTACTGTAAGAATCAAACCTGCCAACATAACCGTGCAAGAAACAGTGCTGCTAGAAATAAATAACTATGACGTTTGCTAACGAATAAGGTTTTTGCTTGTTTATTTTTCTATCCCATCAGTGCAATGTCACAAAATGTAGTTTTTTTTTATTTAATAGAAATAATAATGGCCTGTTGAACCAACAAGAAGGTTTTAGTTTATCAATCATAATAATCTTCTTGACAAGATGAATCGTCAAACAACTTTGATCTGAATAATTTTGAACTTTACTGACGAACAGTTAAATATCATTTTCCCTAACTCGAGATTATTCTGTAACATAGTTTCAAAAGGTAATATGTGCTCGCGATTCGTTGAAGGAATCAATTTGAAAACTGACGAACCTTTTCATTCCGTGACTGTACAATGATTGTCATTTACAATTCCCTAACTAAATTTAAAAATTAAAAGTTACGTTACTTGCAACAAGTGTTTGAAGTGGCGTCCATTTTGTGCTAAACATAATGTCACACGACGTCGTAAATTATTTCGAAGAATCGAAAGAATAATGTCATTTTTTTTACTTCTTCGAAGGCACTTTGGATACGCGTTCTTAGTTCATCGCGATCATTTACCTCACCGTGTCTATCGGAATACACACGCCTTTTGATGTCACCCCACAAATAAAAATCACAGGGCGTTAGGTCTGGAGAGCGAAGTGGTCATGTATCGGGCCACCACGACCAATCCACCGGTCTCCGAACTGTTCATCTAGGTAGTCCCTCACTTGACCCGCAAAATGAGGTGGGGCTCCCTCTTGCTGCCAGTACAACTAGGGTTACCAGGGGTTAAAATCGAAAAGCCAGTTTCGAGAGTTTAACAGGGAGGCGTCTAAAAGATTTTAAAAATTCGACCTTAAAGTCTTCGGTGCTAAAACCCCTCTCTTCGCGTACGCGTAGTATGGTCCTCGCATCGTCGGGTGTAAGATAGTCATAGACCTCAAATATATCCTCGATGTCATTGAAGTTGAAGTCTATTGGTAGCGTAACGGGATCGAAGCCCAAGACGCTGCGTGCTTTCTCAGTAGGCATTTTGGTGCGCTTCCTGGGGCCTGGAAATCATAAGCCCTAAAAAAGCCTCATAAGCCCTAAAAAGCTTCTTCCTCCCCTTGGTGGTGGCCAGCAGGTTGGAGACGCGGGGGCGCCTCCCCCTGCATAGCACAGGTTACCACCGCCGTCGGACGGGATTGGCCTCGTGGTCCCGGCTAATCCTGTCGGCCCCCCACTAGGTGGGGGCGTGTTGGGTCCCGCCGTGTATAGCGGGACGTCCGCGGAAGGCGCCTTGGTCGTTTCTAGTACCCAAGGCGCCGACCACTATGCGGCAGAGGGAACACCCAAGGTTTTTAGTGGGTTCGAGCCCCACATAACCTGCCGTCCCCCGGCGGTAGGTATGGATAGGCCATTTTCCTGGGTAAAAAAAAAAAAGTTTCAAGAGTTTAAAAATCCTGATTTCTTTCAAAAAGTCCGGTCTTTCTTCAGTCGTAAATAAAATTCAGTACAGATGAAGCTACTAATTTAGTATAATATTAATAATGTGCGTAATTTTCACACAATATAATTTCAACCGTAGGACTTGCACTTATATTTCTGGCCACTGCCAACAGCTTTTAAAAAATCTTTTTTCGACGTAATTTAACCATAAAATTCTTCACATGTCATAAATGCTTGAAATTATATTGTGTGAGAAGTATTGCTCTTATTGACTCCACAGACAGTCTGTTCCTCTCCTTCGTCCACTGTGAAGTCATAAGAGAAAATACCCGTTCCACATTTGCATTATGGGGTACAAAAAAAGTAATGACAAATCTTCAGTAATTCGGTAACTCGTGTGATGTCGTTGCACGCTTCAAAAAATATTACCCATTTTTTTTCAGCTTGTTCCACATAAAAATCATGTTGTTTCGAAGAAAGAAAATTTTGTAAAATACAAAATTCTTCAAATAACTTTACGTCATCGATAGTGATTCCTTTGTTTCTCAAAAATAAAAGGGATTCTGTAATATTGTCAAATTGTAACTCCTGATTTTGCTGTAGTGTCATCCATTCAAAACATTTAAATGAGTCCAAAGGCTTTATCCATATGTTTATGTAATTTATACATTCTTGATACAAATTTTTCATTTCGGTATTTATCCTGTTGCGTTCGTCGTCGTTAATATTATTTTTATGAAAGAGGTCTCGTACTTTTAAAGGAATGAAATTATGTTCGATCCTTTGACTTAGTGACTCTATTGTTTCCTTCAATGTGCAAAGTACTTCGGCAATTGAGTTTTTCTCCTTTTCCAGTGTTGCGATTCTTGAGTGAAATATAGCCGTCAATAAATGCAGATAAAACAAGTATATTTCACTTGTATCACTCTCAAAAAACTTTTTAATGATAACTGGAGATTTGTCTCCAGTTAAAAAGTATTCTTTCAATGCCTCATATAATTCAAGGATTCTTTCAATAGCCGGAAAAAGGCTGAGCCACCTTGTCTTGCTGTGACACAGCAGTTTTTCATAATTTATTTCAACGTAATTGCATAATTCTTTTAAATTTTCTGTTCGTACAGTACAAACTGAAAAATGATTGAAAATCTTCATTACTAAAGATTCTACGTCAAAGTCCAACAAATCTGTAGCATGACGTATTGCATTATGCAGAATATGAGCTGGACAACCGACACCCACAATTTCGTGATCAGCGTTGTTATTCAAGTGCGTGATCACGTTGTTACCTACATTTCTAGCAGCACCTCCAAAATTTACATTAGCATTATCGCCAGTGAAAGAAACGCACTTTTGTTTTAAATTATACTTTTGAAGGGTCGTCAGTAAATGATTGGCAATAGTCATCGAAGTTTCGTTTGCCAACGCTGATAACTCAATCAATTTGCTCTGTATTCCGGTCTTCCTATCAAAGAATGGAATAATTATAGGAAATATTTTTTCAGCGTTGTGATTACTGGCATTAGTCGAACACCCGAAAAATACAATGTCTTGAAGTTTCTGTAGAAGCATTTCAATAGAATATGGTGCGATGACATTATTAATAATTGCCTCAGATTTTGTCCTCGCACAAGCTAAGCTTCTGGCCAATTCCGAATCAGAAAACAGTTTTTTAAGTAATGGCGAAGTACAGTCCATGCTTTTATACGATTGGTGATGTTTAACCACATGAAATGCAAGAGTAGCATCAACTGCGCTATTTTTATCTTTTCCTTGCATAGAAACAAAATTGTCCAACTTACTTGTAGATGCGCATAATCTGCTCTGCTTTTTATGCTTCTCGGTATTTATATGCTTCTCTATATCAGCAGCACCTTTGTAGCCTATAGAAACGAAGGAATCACAAAGAGTACACTTAACTTCTTGTTCGTTTCATCCTTCGCTGAACGACGGATATTTCGACTTCAATATATCAGTAAATTTACAGCGTTTTTTACTTGAAGATGCCATTTTAATTGTTGATATGAGTGGTTCTAATCGATATAAACAAACACGACGTCTGTCTGACGCACGCACGCAGTGCACTTAAATAAGGTAAAAACGAACGAATTACGAATCGAACGAGTGAAAATTGGGCAATCATTCCGCTCATTCACTCGTTTTACTATAGGCGGGGAATTCCCGGCCGCGAAACGTGCGGTGCGGGGTGCATTCGTACGGCCCCGCGCGCCCGCGTCCCGCCCCCGCGCGCAGCGTGGATTCCCCCGTTCATAAACAACATGGAACCACGGCAGAGCGCGCGCGCGCTAATCGCCTGGTTTAAATTTAAAGAATGATAAAAAATCCGGTCTCGAATGAAATCCGGGCGGAATCCGGTCTATAGCCTGAAAATCCGGTCAGATGGTAACCCTAAGTACAACCCACTTAGCAAATAAATGTAGAGGCACATCTTCTAACATATCTTATACTTCATTGCGAAGAATTTCGAGGTACGATACTCCCGTTAATCTTCCTTCAATGAAGTACGGCCCGAGTAGTTTGTGGCCTAGTATGCCTGTCCAAACATTCAGCGGAAAGCGATGCTGAAATGAATCTTTTTTAGTTTTTCGTGGGTTATCACCTCTTATGTCTCACCAGTGTTTGTTATGAACATTGTAAAATCCTACTCGGGTGAATAGTGCCTCATCAGTCCATAAGATATTATCCTGAATGTGGGTTTGTAACCGGTAAAGACTTGGGGGTCGCTGCTCCAGGCAAAATGCAGCAAGTCTTCATTATCTGCTATGTCCCGTAATGCAGAATCGTCTTCAGCATCTAACAGGTGCAATTGGTGCAGATGCTCAGAAGATATATCTGACAAATCTGCTGGATAATCGTTGACATTCCTGTGCCGGTGTTCGCCAATGTTAACGGTGCCTGTATCCAGCAGATCGTCATCCAAATCGCTGCCTGCGTTTTGCTGGATCATGTCATTGTCTTCCCACTCGGCAGTCATTTCCTCCGGGTCTTCGAATAATGATGGTTCTGAAATAAAACCACAATCGTTATAATATGTATATTATATGTACGCACAAGCACACATATTGCGGCTCAGGGTTTGAGTGTTGGATTAAAAGAGTTTTTGTATGTTAAAAATATGGTTCTATTCAATGTTCCACAGTAATGTTAAAAATGTTAAAGTTATGTTAAAATGTTAAAAATGTTCTGAGCGCACCCGGTCGCGATGGTTTNTGGTTCCGTGATTTGCACTAATTAGTTTTTTGAAGTAAAATCGATGCATTGCGAACGAGTGCGTTGATTCACACAATTGAAAAGTGAAAAAATAACACTCACCTTTAGTAACTGCGGGTAAAGATTTTGGAGTAGACGTATTTGAGTCTGGTATGTTGCTGGTACTGGATGCTAAAAAAATAAGTAGTTACTGGTTAAATTCTTGAAAAAAAAAAACTACCTACGTTACAAGCTTTTTTCAATTTGTATATTTCATTGAATTCACTGGGTGTAAATCCGAGTAGCTCGATATGAGCATCCACTACAACTTCTTCCGCCTGGAGGGCCTCCACGTGTTTAATGCCCGTTGAAGGTGAAAAAATTAATTTACGTCGTCTGTAAAAAACATAGTCTTATAAATATTATATCAACATCGACTAATAATTTGTCAAAGTACTTAAAATTATAGCTACCTCTTTCCAGGGGTTTTTTCCACCACCGACTGTATGGCACCAATCTCGACTTCACTGGGCCTCTCAAGGTCGCCGAGGTCAGCGACGTCACCGCTGCACGCCCCAACTGGACGGTCAAAGTATCCACCGAGCGAAGGAGGGGGGTCGAACTTTGAGGCTAAAAAGAGCACACAATACAATATGTGAAAATAGATAATAATACAATAATGTGAAAACCCACAGTAAATTAAAGTAAAACAACGAACTTGATGGCACAGGTTTATCTGTTTCCCAAGGTCTAGGCTTAGGCAGAGGTGGAGTGGTTGGTGTCCCAGGTGTAAGGGGACACTGAACACGGGTTAGAGATATTTTTCTGTAAAATATTTGAAAGTAAGACTACAATTTTATTTACCTCATGATCATTTGAAAAAAAAAACAAATAAGTACCTTTTCTGCTTTTTTTCTGGGGCATCTGGCAGCAAAAAACTAGTTACCTCCTTCTGCTCTCTTAAAGTAAATAGACGGGCTCTTTGTTCTGCTGTTAGAACATTGAGGTTCTTTTTATCAGAAACCTTCTGCTCCCTTACTTTTTTTAAGCCTTCGGCTAGTGACGTTGATCTAAACAAAAAAAAAATAAAACTTAGAAACAACCAACTAACTGTCAAGACAAATTGTGTATGATATACATACGTAGAGGGCTGTACTACGGCTGCTACATGACCGGACGGCGGCTCCAGGACGGCAGCTGGCACAGGCGGTCTAGGCTAGGAAAAAAAAATTAGAATATCCCTTCACAGTTCACTCAGGAGTAGGGTTGCCAGGTCCAAAATCACAAAAGCCGGACTTTGTGCTTCATTTGGCCGGACATTTTACCCTAAAAGCCGGACATGTGACGGGGGGGTGCAATTAGTGTCAGCTCATGAGTGAGTACTATCATCATCGGTTGCTAACCAACATCCTGATGCGTGCGCTTCATAATATGATTCTGTGGCTCGTCTTTTGCCTGACGCGGCAATCAAACAAAAGCCGGACAGGCCGGACAAGGCAATATTTGGCCGGACAAGTCCCTAAAAAGCCAAACATGTCCGGCTAAAGCCGGACGCCTGGCAACCCTACTCAGGAGTAATTAGTGGAAAAAGCAACTTACGATTCCACACCAAGCATTTCGCAAGCACGACCACGACTTCCACCTCGAGCACGACTGCGACTACCACGGCCACGAGCGCCACGAGAGCGTGCTCGGGAGCTTCGTGCCCGCCCATGACCAGATGATGATGCTGGGACCTTATCCATATCTTCGTTTGAGAAAGCTAAGCGATGTGTTAAGCTGCAAAATAAGCAAATATCAGTATCCAAATCTTTTGCTGACATTAGGTATCGTTTATAGATGACATTTTTAATAAAAAATAGGTAGGTCAAATTTTAACAACAACTATTTTTTTCCTAACCAATTATAACGTAGTGTGTACCGCGCTTAGCGCGTAAGCATTTTGCGGGAGAGCGGGTCCATCGGAGAGCTGGCAAGTGGCAACGTGTGGCAACGCTCGACCGGCCGTCCGGCCTGGCCACGCGGCGGGCGCGCCAGTGTTGCCAGAAGGCTTTTGTAACCTTTTAGGTTACTTTTGAACTGCATAGGTTACTTTTAGGTTACACTAATGAAAAGGTTACTTTTAGGTGATTTTTCAGAAATTGTGGAATTAACGTTTACATACAGGTTATTCAGTAAAAAATATTAATAGTGACAATTTAAAAATTATGTCATAAACTGCATTTAAACATGAATTTGATTTATTATTTGTTAAAGAAAATGAATTTTAGCGAATGTTTTTCGATAATAAAACGCAAATCCAGGAAACGGTTTTATACGACCACCGGTCACTTTTCGGTCTTCATGGAATGATCAAAATTTCGAATTTAGGTAAACGATTGATGATCAATTGTATTAATTTACCATCCATGAACAACCTTTACGCAATCGCTCCGTATGAAGGTTACTTTTTATTCAAAAAGGTTACTTTTTTTTATATTTCTGGTAATTTCTGACAAGACCCGACTGGCAACACTGGGGCGCGCGCATCAGTCAGTCGCCCCCGCAACCCATTACGAGACGCGCGTATTGCTGCGCGCGCCGATCGTTCCGTGGTGCGATCAACGTAACGATGTATTCGCAGCGCGAGTGTTATAAAATGGTTTGGTGCTACATTTTAAGTGAAGAGAGTAATTTTAATTTGTGTAAGTGTATTATTATTGTATTATCCACAAAAAAAATACAAACGAAAGTGGAATTATAGCAAATGTTTTCCGTGTGAAATTAACTATACTGTGGCTCGGAAAACTGCAATAGGCACCATCGAGCTACACGGATCGCTCGCTTAATATGTCGGATAGCCTACTGAAGGAAGCCACATAAAGTAATTAGTGTAAATAGCAAATTAATTTCAAGCGTCTAACTTAAGTGGTAGTACTTAAACCCACTCAACAAGCATTCAATCAGCCAGAATCCATAGAGCAAGTATCCTCCCAAAAAGCCTGTACTTTCTTACAGCATGTTTCGATCTTACAGCCATCATTCAATTACATACCAAGCAACAAACAACCATCCACAGTCAGCAAACATTTGTTCAACTAACATCTATTTACCAACTGTCCGTTAGCAGTCAACAGCAATCCAACTCCCCAAAAACTGTCTATCAGAGCAACTGGAGATGACAAAATAGGTGCAGATCAAAATAATTTTATGCAACTGAAAGTACCACTGGTTAAGGAAGCCAATAATATAGTTAAATTACAAGATATTTTGGTACTTCCTAAAACGCCACAAAGGAAAGGGATAAAAAAAGCTTGTAAAAAATACCAAGAAGACGCCTTTTGTACTAACATCAGCCGAATGGAAAGCACAGGAAAATGAAAAAATTAAAGAAGAGAAAGCGGAAGGTGTTAAAAAGAGAAAAGAAGAAAGAGTCCAAAAGAAATTGGAAAAAGAGAAGAAAATGATAAAAAAAATCACTACTCACTATTTTGTACAGCGAATTAATAAATGTATTTTTTAATGGTTACTATACCGGCTATACCACAGGAAATGGTTAAATGAATACCAATTTTTGACGGAGATTATAAGCAATTGAATGTATTTTTGCAAAAATGCGAATTTATTCTTTCTCATTTTAATGAAGGCGGCGAACAGGACCTTTTTAATCTCCATGTTTTAACAAGTCGCCTGGCAGGTAGGGCAGTCACTTTAATAAGTGAGAGGCAGAATATAAACAACTTATGAAGAATTAAAGGCGTTATTAACCCAGCACTTGGGAGATCTAGATCTGAGGGTTGCATTGCTATACAATTAGAATCCATGCAGTTCAGACCCAAAGAAAGATATTTAGATTTCTGTCATCGTATCCAAAGTGTACGTAGCAATTTAATTGCCAAGGTCAACTTGATTCCTTATAAGGGTTTAAGGGAAAGTAAAACGCGTATTTATGATAATACTGCATTGAACGTATTTCTTTATAATTTAACGGAAGATTTAGTGCGCATCGTGAGATTGAAGGCATCCACACTGGAGGGAGGAAGCATTAGAGATCTTAGAAGAGGAAAATTTTTATCAACAATATAACTTAGGTACGGCAACAAGACAAAAGAATTGGAAAACCAATCTACAATACTACCTCAGAGCTCATGGCACCCGCCCCGTTAGCCAAATTACGGGCAGAACAGGAGGATTCAATCAGTTTAATAGGGCTCCACAAAATCAATATAATCGAGGTCAACAAAAATCAATTGAACAGTCTGCAATCATTGAATAATTTATCGGTACCAAAAACCTCAGAGTTCAAGAAACTTTGACCAAGCAAATCGCTTGCATAATACCAGGTCAATGACAACGCCCATACCGGAAACCTACGGTAACAACCTTTGAATATCTTAAATATGCTAGGTGTAGATGAAGTTGATAATGCCGTCCACTTCTTATACAAAAGTGAATTTGAATTTTCACGTAAAAGCTTCAACTTCAGCCCAGAAATAGGAGTAATAAAATCTAAATTACCCTTATTAGACTTGAACAATTTAATGTAAATTTCTTGATTGATACAGGAAATGCATAGTAAGCATAACGGGTGTGTACCAATATCATTTAAAAATTATATATTTTTTATTTTGTAAATAGTTTTTATTATAAGTAATTTTTAAATTTTAGTTTTTAAGTAATTTTAAGTTTATGTAAATATATTATAAAATTGTTTATTTAAAAATATATTTAATATTGATGAAATACAGACATTTTATACAGTGTGTCCTGAAAATCAGTCTCATAGGTAAACCATAAGAAATATAATATAAATTAGGCTTACTTACATGTGAAATGTTATGTTTTCATAAAAAAAGGCGGACGGAGTGTGGTCTAAGTTTTGAGTGAAGCACAACAATGGCGGAGACTTAAGTTTGTGTGAGTCGACGGAAAGTTGCCATATACGAGAAATTACCATATTTAGAAAATATATTCCAATTACTTTCTGTCATTTAAATTTTTCCCATATTTTGGCATTTTATCCATGTTATTTAATCATATTTATTGCTACGTTTATTTATTTTTTAATTAAGCAGCTAGTTTGTGCTAGTTGGGTTGTTTTTATGAGAGTGATTGAATAATAATGCTTAAGACTGATTATATAATAAAGCTTCATATAAAAAAAATATTGATGTTTATTGATATCAGTGATTAAAATAAATGTCACATTTGTTTGTTGTAAATTTTGATAAGAATGTTTAAACTGAACATTGATTGTTATAATTAATAATAAATTATTTATAACTGTTGAATTAGTTATTACATATTACAAGGGTTTATGGCAATGCCATCATGCCATTCTGAGTCTGATTGTTAAATCAAAAATAAATATTGTTATGATTTTTAACTTGAATCGGATTTTCATTACTATCTCCAAAGACTTACCCAAAAGGAAGTAACTTCCTATTCCTCCATCATATAATCTCTTCATTTCACTTTTTACATTACTATGAGCCCAAATAAATGCATCATGCACTCTCCCTGGGTACCTATTTAGCATTGACATGTAAAATCCTGCACTCTGAATCGGCTATCTGTAATACAAAGTAAATGTCGATAAGTAGCATAAATTATTATATAGATTACTAGCTGTGCCCAGTTTACAACCTAACTGATTCACAAACCTACTGAATATACACACAAAACTTCATAAGGATCGGTTAAGCCGTTATGAAGTTTTGTTTGTTAGACAAGAATTTTATTTATGTAAGGATTTTAATTTTCTTTAAGAAGCAGACATAATAATTGTTGCAATAATCATTACCAGTTGCACATTGAGTGTATGTGCTCCTTTTCGTACATTTTTGTACTGTGCTCCTTCTGGCCCAGGTGGAGGGAAGATTTTTAAGTGTGTGCAGTCAATGAGCCCTAAAATTCCGAGCACACGGGTATTTTTCTTCAAAGCCTGCTGCCACACTTCTTCGGGCAGGCTCTGAACCTCGGAAGTGAACCTTTTCAGAAAAGAGTCTGTAATAAATGTATTAAGTATTTAGTACGGTAAGGTTTCAATAGAAGTTAGACACTTTTGAGTATGTGTTTCTTATTAAGTTTCTTATAAAGCTCATAAATAAAGACTATTTGGAAGAAGTACATGAATGTATCTAAGTACATACCTTAAGTATAATGCCTTCAAAAATTGGTTTAAAAATCTGCTTACGGTGGTCTGGGCTTGGCAAAGACTATGGTCCTGCCCAATCTGCCACTGGTAGCCACCATTTGCCAGAAATTGGACACAACATAGAACCTAAAATATAACAATTACTTAATTGGTACCGGTTTTTCATCGTGTCATCTTGTTATGATAGTTCTTGTAGTCAATTTGAAGATTGACGATTTTATGGACTTACCTTCAGATGTACAGGAATGCCCTGAGCACTTAGCGGCTCCAAGTCTTCCCTTATTTGCTCTATAATATAAATAGCCATTAGCTTTGAAATACGCCATAGATATTGGAATTCGGCATCGTCAATATCGAAGGGTTCACAGATATCCCGGATTCTCTTTCGTTGTAATTTTCTGGCTTCTCGTGCCTCGTATATCGAAATTTGTGAGTTAAAATAAGGCACTGACATGATGATTTTCCTTATCGTGGGTAAGCACTGACGACGATATAAAGATCACGTAGAAGTGTCAAAATATGATACAACTAAGGTTTCACATGGTTTATCATAAAAAAAATCACTATCACATTTTGACAGATGATATGATAATTTTCGGGGTGCCATGTTAACAAAACGATATAGTGACGTCAAATTCGATAAAAGGCCGCGATAGCAGTTTATCACGGCGCGCATCTAAGCCCTGCTGAAAGTCTTCGTAAACCATATTTATTATATCGTCATAGTCCATCACTAACACAAAATGGTTGAAATTGATTATAGGCGCAATTTAGAAAATTTCACGATTGTTTATACACTGTTCGTACAACCACTACACGTCGGATGAGTGCACTGTTTGC